TCTCTTGAGGAATATGGTCATTAATGAACTCATCAGCAAATTAAATGCCAATCACTTCTACACAGTAGGTTATGCCGATGACCTCACAATAGTGGTCTCTGGAAAGACAGCAAGCATAGTGTGCGACCTGAACCAAGCGGCTCTCCGTATAGTGGAGAGATAGTGCAGGGAATACGACTTAACCGTTAATCCAAATAAAACGGTTCTAGTAATGTTCACACAAAAACGAATGCTGAATAACTATCATTTCCCAAGTCGAAGTGAACGGCAGGGTCGGGAAGGGACGCCCTAGACGAAGGTTTATCGACCAGATCGGCGATACATTGAAAATGGGCCAGATTAGGAGTACCCTTAACCGACGAGCGTGTATGCGTAGATATATGGATGTGAAAGAGGCGAGAGAGGTGTGTCAGGATCGCGCCAAATGGAAGTCCGTAGTCTCTGCCTACCCCTCTGGGTGACAGGCGTGAGTGTTTATGTATGTAATATGTTATGTTCCCAAGTCTTTTCAGCACAAAACTCCAGTTATCCTCTGAGGTAAAATATTTAGGTCTTACCTTGGACAGCAAAATTAACTTTAATAAACACATAGATAACAAAATCAACAAAGCTAGTATAACTTTCTGGCAATGCAGAAACATGATTGGCAAAAGATGGGAACTGACGCCAAAAATTATACTGTGGATGTACAAAACTGTAATTCGGCCCATGATCACATACGGCGCTCTGGAATGGTGGACCAAGACAAATGAAGCCACCACTATAAAGAAGCTTCAGCGCTACCAGAGACTGGCATGTATGGCTGCCACAGGCTGCATAAAGACTACGCCAACAGCAGCCTCAGAAGCGATGCTAGAGCTAACCCCGCTTCATCTACATATACAACAAGAAGCTACTTTAGCTGCCATCAGACTCAAGACAATAAATCTTTGAAGTAAGAATAGAGTCCCTCATACAGGCATAATTGATAGAATTCACTCAAAAATTCCTATCTTACAAGCCAAGTACGATAAGATTCCTAAACAATTTGTATTCGATAAGAAGTATAAGATACAATTAAATGAAACCAGCCAGCTGGAAGGATTAAGCCCAAAAGAGCTTAGAGTTTTCACCGATGGTTCTAAAACAAATGAAGGTGTAGGTTCTGGAACTTTCTCTGAAGACCTCAATATCCACATATGCACACCGCTGGGTATAACACAGTCTTTCAGGCGGAATGTATGGGTATCATTCAAGCGGCCATATCAATAGATGCTAGGAAGGTTAATGGCTTCCCCATCAGAATACTGACCGACAGTAGAGCGGTACTACAAGCTCTGAGTTGCAATGTAGTGAACTCGGGACTAATATATGAATGCCATCAACGATTAAATGAGGTATGTAAAAACAACAATGTGACTGCAATGGATAAAGGGACACAGTGGATCCAGAGGCAACGATGCAGCAGACGAACTGGCCAGAAGAGGATCAGCTCTGGCCACTATAGGGCTGGAACCAATCATACCAATCCCCTTTGGTAATGTTCGTTCACTGGTACGTAGACACTTCAATAATCTACACGCTCAGCTTTGGAAAAATCTAGTAGACTGTAGACAAGCTAGGGAGGCCCTGCCTGAAATAAACAGTCGTTTAACCAAAGTTCTAATGAGACTGAACAAGCCGCAGATCAGGATAGTAACAAGTGCTATCACAGGACACGGCAACTTTAACAAACATTTATTTACTATAGGTGTTACAGATAGTCCCCTGTGCAGGGTATGTATGGGGGAAGAAGGAACGGCGGCCCATGTGATATTGAAATGTCCGGAGGTCGCTACGTACAGGGCTAAACATCTCGGCACGCCGGGATCACTCCCCGAAGTTGCCTGCAACATCAAAGGACTGTTGAGCTTCTTCGGGGAGATCTCATGGCTCGAATAAGCATATTATTCCTGCCCACATGCAAAATACGCGCATAGACGTGGAGTTGCGGAAAACAGCCCGTCGTAAACTAAACTAACTAACTATCTTCCCACGCGTCATTTTTCTTTACTTTATTTCGATAATCAAGATTCGAAGTGTCCCACAACAAAACATGACTCTGGTATAGCTCAAAAAGTAAGAGGACAGTTTCGTTTCCCCACACTACTGACATGTTGTAAGGCACGTTGCGCATACGACTACACTTCATTAAAAAAAAATGACGCGGGACACGTGCGCTCGCTCTGGGATCCGGAACAAGTAACATGTCCCGTGTCACGTAAAATGGTGCGGGTCACTGTGCAACGTTGCATCGTCACGTAGATTGACTGTTCCGCGTATCCGAGGCTTAAACCTATATGACCTGCAACGAATACCGTTTGGTGCAGGTACGACTTTCCCGATCTTCGACACACTTTCTTGGGAGAGACGGTCACACTCCTGGTGTTGCCTTATTGAAGGATTACTGTAGCCTCCGTGACTTCGCACCTCGGATAATCTTATATTATCCCAGCGCGACTTGTCTATCACTTCTTCTAGCTCAAGTACCTTCTCGTTAGTCCTCGAATTAGCCCTTCAGGTTAAGTCAACCGAACCTACGCCGAAGACTTCATGTAATATTTGCATAAAATATCGCGGGTCTCAAACCATAGGGGGCGTACGTTTACGTATAATTAATATTAATAATATAATTTAATATTAATTACTTTTTGAATAAATTGCAAAATATCGTTTGTTGTAAGCTACACAGTCTGAAATTATTTTTAGGCCATATAGCCGTATAGTAGACGTAAGAGCAATATTACTGCTTATTGGGTCAGATTTAACGTGCCATAAAGACGTATGCGCATACGATTGTCAATGTCCACATGATCCTGAGGATAAATAACATACATCTGACTAAATAGTCATCAAAGCAGATGTATGTATGTATATATTGTTAAGCTGGTATTTTACGCTGTTATTCTGTGAGAGCGTAGTCCTTCATGTTCTTCCCAGGATATGGGAATTCCATTTATAGAACCAGTGGTAAAAGTAAAAATTAATTAATAAGAATTACTTGTAATCTATTGAATAAAAAATATTCTATTCTTACTTTTATACCAAAGATGTTTCACATTAGTCTCACATTTGACACCAAGCACCAACGTCAGTATAAAATGAAATACTGCTTAAAGAGCTTCTTCAGTTCAAAGTAGACAACTTACACCACTTTATATAGCAATCCCCTCTGTGCAGCCATTGTTTACACATAGCATATTTGAAACACCAACCACCACAACCAATACAAATAATAAACATTACCAGAAACAGTGTAAACTTGATGATTCTATGGCAAACCCTAATTACATCCCTACAGATGTTGAAAGTCAGCCTTCCCCCAATGTCACAAATTACATCACTATCTTATATTCAATTCTCCACTAAACAGTGGACAACCCACAACAGTTCATTAAAATAGAAATGACAGAATCGGTAAGCTCCATTAGTCAAAGTCACTAAGAAATGGCTGATTCTATAAGTTATGTTAATAACATTGGATAAGAAAAAGGATTCTATCTGCAAAACTTCATACAAATAATTGATCCTGGAAAAAAATATAGATTTTCACAAACAGAGAAAAGACCAACGCTGGTGCCAGAAGTTGAGCAGTTACCCGAAGAAGAACAGAAAGAGTCAGGGAGAGAATGAAGAACATATTAAATCGAAGTGATGGAGAATTTAAAATTTAAAGAATTTAAGTCAATGTGAGATATCTCTCTCTATTGGAAACACAATAAAACCAACGCATGGAACTGTTTTCAAATGAGCAAACGTCAGATGCATACAAGTGACGAAAAATATTCTCGATTCGCTTTTCTTTAAATTCGACTACTGGAAAAAATTATGGAGATAAGGTTAAGCAGAAATGTAACACGATCGGACTATTCTTCTTTTACGGAAACAACTTTGTACTCAAGACCACTTTCATTAAAACAAGTCAAAAATAAAGACTTGATGGCTATGTGTAAGGGGATGGAACTATTCGAAAAAATTACCACAAAATTCCCTCTTGTTGTAGAAAACGAAAATTTTGAGATAGGAGCTAATAATTACTTACGTTACTTAAGTTTTCCTTACTTTTGCAATTTTTTAGAAACTTTTATTGTATTTTATAATGATTCAGAGAATTGATTATGCTTGGTTTTTATGCCTATAAGTTTCCTTTAAGGATTTAGATTTTGTTTTTTTCAAGTGTCTTGAATCTTAAATCTCAAATCTGTTCTGAAAACCTTTTTGTTTAATTTCAAATAATTATTTTCTTTTGAATTATGAATAAAATTTAATTTTTAGAAGTTTTCTTTAACATTTTTGTCTTATTTCGTTTCTTCTAGTGTCTTGTTTAATTTTAGTCTTTTGTGTTTTTATGTCATTTTAAATAATTATATTCAGATTTATGAATATACATTTTATTTTTTAAATGCTTCTTTTTTGTTCTCATTTTTTTTTCACCCATGTTTTATTGTGTAATTGCTACTATTTGTTTCTTTTTTCTTGTTGAACATAAATGGTTTATACTTAGAAACCAAACACCTTTCAATATTAATGGCAAGCCAAACAGGCATACAATTTTTGAAAATCACGAAAATAACGTTAATTTTGATGGTTTCTCATTCCAAAATTACAATTTTCAAATTCACCAACTAGGTTCAAATTACTATTGGTACAATTATTAATAATTTAAGGAAAAATGTTTTACGTCCGTAAATTCTAAGCATTTTTAGGCGAATTTTGACGGAGTTTTACCGTTTCGCCGTCATGCCAAATAGACGTAAAGACTAAAAACTAGTGTTTAGAGGAAATACCTTACAATCCATCATCCCATAGTAACTGAAGTGTAAATATATGGCCACATGCCAAAATACACCGAGCTGGCTCAATCACAAGAAAAGTTATTAAGTTATTTGTCTCTCCTGAAAAGTAACGGTTTTGTAGATACGCCCCTATGGTTTGAGATCCGCGATATGGTCTGAAATATTTAATACTGAATTATGTCACAGGTGGTTTCGCTGACGCATACGCTCCTGACGCACAGTGCATTGACTGGCGTACAGCGCGTGTTAGTGGTGTGCCCGCTTAGCACCGTGCTCAACTGGGTGAACGAGTTTCGCATCTGGCTTAAACACACAGAGAACGAGTACGACGTTGATGTGTACGAGCTCTCCAGGTTGGTTACACTACACTGTAATAACACTAACACTATTCTATGTAATGTGGCCAATACATCCGGTATTCCACTCCTTCTCAAGCAACTATCCATAACTTTTTAAGAGCGAGCGAATCATTATCAATATCATAAAGGACAAAAATCCTGTCATTAAATGGATCAAGTCAGTTTGGTTAAATTTTTTATGAGATTTTGGTACTATAAAGCTATGTATTATATAACAGTAATAATTGGTTAAGTTAGTAATAAAGATGAATGTCAGAACATCCATGATCATTTTTGTGTTTCTATTGCCATAGATATAAACAAAACTCGGAGCGTGCGTTCCAACTGCAGCAGTGGTTTGAGTCGGGGGGAGTGTGCGTGCTTGGCTACGAGATGTTCCGGAACTTGTCTGCAGATAACTCAAAGAAGTTTAAGAAAAAGATGTTGAAGAGCTTCCAGGAGAGCTTGGTTGACCCTGGTAAGATTTTGGCATTGTATATGGAGTAAATAACTAAAAAAAAAATGCTTATTATTAATGTAATATTAAATGATACATACATTCGATGCTATAACTGCTTTCGATACACTAAGACAAGCAAGTTTGGCGAGTAATAAGTTTTTGTCTATCAGTTATGTTTAAAACCAAACATAATACATATATTATGAATTCTTTCACAACAATATCTAATAACTTCTTATTATTTCTTCCTAATAACATCCCTCGTCCTATAAATCTTAAGTCTTTGTTAAATTTAGTTTACTCTCCTTTCGTACAAACTTTATTAGACTTCACATCCATTAACAACATTAAACTATAGTACTTTTGCCACTTGCTTATATTCATTTTATTATATTAGCAGTAATTTTGTAAAACTATTATATGTTAATTCATTCCAAAATAACTACCTATGTAACTTTGTAACATAAAGCTAAGTAAGCGTATCTACGGAAATGGTAGTCGAAAACTCTGTGTGACTCATGAAATACTTGATGCCGGCAGAATCCATTGGAAGTTGCCAAAATAGGAAAAAAACATGAATATAAATAACTTCTTCATGAACAAAGAAAAGAAAGACAATGTTTAATAAAATATTCACCTGTAAGGAACTGTAAGAACATAACCAAAAAAAATATCCAAGTGGTAGCAGTGTTCGAGAATCCATCTCCCTTTTCATGCTTTGCGTCTCTTAAGAGGCGACTATGAGGAATGTCAGAAGAACTTAATGGATGACGTTAAAATTGCCGCCAAGCGACGAGGGCTAAGGTGCGAGGCGTTTGGTACTACGATAGCCAATTTACCTACCAAGCGTGGCGTTTAATGAAAATATACCCTACCGGAAAGTGATCAAAACAAGTTGATGAAGAATCACAGAAAATATCAAGAGTGTGTGATGAGCATATCCTTATAAAATTTTGTTGTAGGTCCTGACCTAGTGGTGTGTGACGAAGGACACCTGCTGAAAAATGAGAAGACCAGCCTCTCGCAGTCTATGAACAGGGTCAGGACGCGACGTCGCATTGTACTCACCGGAACGCCTCTGCAGAACAATCTTAAAGAATGTTAGTATTAATTATTCTTTTATTAAGGAACTATTCCAATACGGAGTATCCCAATACACATGCCAACTCTTTTTTGAATTATGAAAATCATCACATAAGACCAACACTGCTAGGGATGTTACAATAAAATAGTTCAACTATCTATGGTATATGGTTTTGATAATTTTTGTTCGTAATATAAAATCTACATAAACCCCACAGACTACTGCATGGTGCAGTTCGTGAAGCCGAACCTGCTGGGCAAGTACAACGAGTATTTGAATCGATTTGTGAACCCTATCACCAACGGACAGTACACTGATTCAACAGAGCACGACATACGCGTTATGAAGCGACGCTCGCACGTACTGCACAAAATGCTTGACGGTGCTGTACAGGTAATGCTTTTACAAAATTTTAAAATACAAGTTACTGTAGTGGACTGAACAAATATGGAAAAGCTATGAGCAAAAATTAATTTGAAAAAATAAATCAATTATTACAGATCAGGCATGCACTTATCTCCTTTATTATCAGTACAATCGTAACAATGTTGCACTAGGATAAGACATGTACTCCCTTAGAATTTTATAGCTAGTTCTCAAAAGTTCATTGTATTTATTATTATTATTATACTAAAAATATTATTATATTTATTATTATTATTATTTAATATCTTTCATTGTGTAGCCGTAAAAGAGAACATAACAGGACAAAAGCAATTAGATAAATGTGTGGAACCTGGAAGCAGGGTCACCTTCCATGTCTCTTCTGAGGTACTCTGTTCATCATGTTACTGTGTAAAACATCAAAAAATTAAGCTTTGAGTGTGAGTGATAGACATGTTCACCTGTCGTCTACTTGGCTTGTTTGAGTAATAGTTAAAAGAATCAGGTGTAAAGGGTTATTAAACTTAAGGCAATTTTTTTATAGGATAAGGATGACACCCAGGGTCCACCTGTAAATAGTTGCTGTGGCCCATAGACATCTACATCCATCATCAACTACAGTTTGTCCGCGATGGACTCCTAAACTACTGAACTGATTTCAATGAAATTTTGAACACTGTGCATTTTGGTCCAACTTGAGAGATAGGATAGTTTTTATCGCGATAAATGACCCTCAAAATAATATATCCGCAGTGTGATCTACCTTATATATATAAGGTAGATCACACTGCAGATATATTATAACTGCAGCACAAATTGGTTAACTTGACAACGGATAGACCACACTGGTATTATACCATCATACAATATTATAATGCTGCTGTTTCGTATGGTGAGTACTGAGAACTGGAGAACAGTTTTTACTGGGAAGGAGGCATTCCCTTTTAATCCTCAGGAGTGTCACAACACTTCCACATTTTGAATTTTAATCAAGGATAGGTGTTTATGTCTATGTGCCACAGCATACATTTACTCAGGTGGACTGTATGCTAATTTATAACCTTTATTCTTTGTAAGAAATCGTAATTTCACATTTGTTTTTTCAGAGGAGAGATTATGGGGTGCTGGCGCCCTTTTTGCCTCCAAAACACGAATACGTACTATTCATAACATTGTCGGAAGTACAAATCAAGTTATATCAGCACTATTTGGATAATTATTCCAGGAGGTGAGTAATATATCTATACATCACTATTAATATTTATTGATAATCATGACACCCCAAAAGAAAATGTTGTAATGCAACAGACTCATTCAAATCAGGCCTATCACTTTTCATACATTACTCGTTTGGCGAATTCTAATAAGCCTATATAAAAATAATTACAAATGGTCACCTTATGTGAAAGGCATGCTTTAGAATAGGATTGCAAAATTATCTCATTAGCCAACTGAATAGAAGATGTCTTAATAACTTTAATTGTGGCTTGTAACAAATATTTGCTTTGCAGGCCACTCCCTGGAAAATCCTCTGGGTTCCTCTTCCCAGACTTTCAATCACTGCAAAGGATATGGACGCATCCATTAGTACTCAAGTACAATTCAGAGCGATATGAGATTATGCAACAGAAAAAGGTTTGTTGACTTTTATAATTCACATTAATTATAATTTAGTTTAGTTACATGACAACTTCAGTCAACTATTTTGATAATAAAGTTATTCATAATATTAAAATTATTTACAGAGGGAGAGAGAAGAAGAAGAAGACTCAGAAGGATCATTAGCAGACTTTATTGATGATGATTCTACACCTAATGTAAGAATATGATGCTATAATTTTGCTTTAAGCCCAAATAAATGAAATCTTTTTCGCTTTAAAATTCTAAAGCCCGTATTAATAAACCGATATTAAACTGCGAATGTGTTTTCAACAGTATGGTGAAAATATTACTTAAGATCATGTTCTCAGCTTGATATTGGTTTATTATTATAGGCCTAAGAAAAAAACATTTTATTTATATAATTCCAGCCGAATTTTGGCCACGGTGACAACAATATTTTTAACTTTTTTTTGTTTTAACTTTTTCTGGCGGTCTCAAGGTGAAGAGCGTCACTAATGCATTAATGATTGCTATGCACATTTGAAATTTTTTCTTAGCATTATTAATTTTTTCTAAATAAAAGTTTACTTAAAAAAATCGAAAAATATCTTTTGTCCAACTTTGTTCATCTACAACAAACTTTTTTCAAATAATGCAAAAATTTCAGCTGGTATATACTGAAATATTTTTACAGGAAAGTTCAACTGAAGAATCGTCAGATGACTTTTCAGATGCGAGTGATGACAGTCGCAAGAAAAATAAAAAGAAAAAAGCAGCCAAGAAGGGTAAAGTAAAAGACAGCAAAGTTACCACCCGAAGAGGCACTAGAGCTAATCCAGGTATTTACCATCATATCTCATCAGGTTTACCTCAAAATAAGATTATACAACCAGTGCATGTTACCAGTGATGACTTATGGATCTGAGACCTGGTTACTTCACTGCTGGCGGTATGAGGAAGCTCAAGCTCGCTCAGGGAGGTATGGAGAGGGCTATGCTCGGGGTTTTTCTGCGTGACTTAAACTTAAGCGAAGACTTAAAAACGAGGATATCCGAAGTAGAACCAGCGTAACCGACGGCCCAACGGATTTGTAAGCTGAAGTGGCTTAGGGACGACCATATAGCTCGAAGAACCAACAACCAATGGGGAAGAAAGATTCTCGAGTGTCTACCCACTAGATGGAGTGATGACCTGGTAAAATGTGCACGAAGCCAATGGATTCAGGTGGCTCGGACCGTGCTTTGTAGCATTCCTTGGGGGAGGTCTATGTTCAACATAATGATGACTTAAAATTAATGAAACTCACATAAATTAAGATATTATATGTAGTGTGGTACTAGGTAGTACCCTACTAGTCCTTTACTGTCTGGAAGTCTGTCTGCGTAAGTGCCACTCCCTTACTTATTGCTGTATTTGCACTACTATGTTCTGGTTTTTAGGCTAAAGAGAGCTTGTGTTATTATTATATTTACGTGAATATTACACATTGAATGAATTATTAGTTGTTATGGATTTTATCGCGTTTAATTTACTTCTTTTATATTCCTGACGTTTCGTGTACTTTGCAGCACCCATTGTCACGGTGGACTAAGGTGCTTGACGTCCCAATGTCATAGTTAACCGCGGCTACATAAATAATTTTAAACTGACGGTAGCTGTTAACTAAAATAGTATTATTTAAACAGCTGGTATAATTACTGGTTGTGAGGTATTCCATCTGAGTCCGCAGAGGTGACAACACATCTATTGACTTCTTTGTTTAAAGTTGGTTGCAAGTGATTCATGGGACTTTAGTAGCCACTTACCAGCAGGTGGTCCGTAAGTTAGTTAGTCATTTCAGTTTTATGAAAATCTAGCTGTTCCTCGCGACTTTGCCCGTGTGTTATTTGGGATTTTAATTTTTTTTTTTGCGCGTACCCTAATTCTTATTCTAAAATAAAAGTAGCCTAAGTTACTCCTTGTGACATCAGCTATCTGCCAATGAAAATCCCGTCAAAATCGGTCCAGCCGTTTCGGAGATTAGCCGGAACAAACAGACAGACAGACAAAAACTTTAAAAATTGTATTTTTGTTATTAGTACCGTATATACTTTCATACACATTTAGTAAAAAGCTGTAATTTTGACATTACAAACAGACACTTCAATTTTATTTATTTGTAAGGATAAGTGTCAGCGAGTCAGTGTTTGTCAGTGATTTAAAATATTGTTTGACAGTGGAACATCTAGAGGACGAGGAAAAGCCAATAGAGTCTCTGGAGACGAAGTATGAAAACCCAACAGAGTGGTGGATGAAGCTGGTGACGGACGACGAGCTGGAGGATATGCGCAACTCACACAAGCTGGTACTGCTGTTCGATATCCTGCGGCAGTGTGAGACGATTGGCGATAAATTGTTAGTATAAATATTAAATTAAAATTTTCATTCCTGATTGGCTTATCAGGTATAAGTTTCCCATTATTGTAACTATGTACTTATATGTTTAAATACAAATACATAGTTAACCTATTTATCTCTTTAATTACGCATTCGTTAAAAAATTTGCAGGAATATATTTGAATAGTATCTTATAATATGTAGACTGTTGTTGTTATACACATTATCTTTTTTATTATTTTTTTTTCATACAGATTAGTATTCTCACAGTCTCTGTATTCACTGGACCTTATTGAGCACTTTTTGGGAAAAGTTGACGAAGCTACACAAGAAGGACGTATTGACGAAAAACTTGGCGGACATGTTGGTGAGTAAAGTTTAAAAAAATTATTGAGGTATTTTTTTATGTACCACGTTTTTTTTCTTCATATTCTTACACTATCATCAAATTCTGAGCTAATTTCTGAGGTATTTTTTTATATACCACGTTTTTTTTCTTCATATTCTTACACTATCATCAAATTCTGAGCTAATTTCAAAATTTCAAGTCATTTGGAAGTTAGTTTAAAATCAATCACTAAATTCGACTCTAACAGACATACCCGAAAGCGAGTTAATAAAAACGTGGTATATAGAGGACAAATGCAACAAATTAAGATTTTTAACCGACTTCAAAAAAATGGGTTGCTCTAAAACTCGCAGAAATGACAGTAGATCTGTTCCCAGCTGTGGAATGTGTATGGCCTGTAACTTTTATTATATTTTTTAATTTCTATTACAAGACTTCAATAAAACATTTGTCGTTGAAACACAAGGACACCGTCTATGCTTAACTATTGAAATGTATACTAAATTATTTTCTCAGGGTCCTGGTCACCGGGAATAGATTACTTCAGATTGGATGGCTCAACCTCCTGTGAGAACAGGTCAATTTGGTGCAAGAACTTTAACAGGGAAGATAACCCTAGGGCTAGGTATGTTACTTTTATGCTTTGTAACAATGTTCGGGCCGCACATGCTTTTTATCGCCACGAATCAATGCACGCTAAAGCGTCATAAGTTTTACTCACTAAAAGTTATCTTAATGTGGTGGTCACACTAGCTGCTTCGTAATTTAAATGAATTATTGTGAAATAATAGTAGTACTAAATATTTAAATGTTTTTAGACAAAAGTTTTGATTGCTCACATAATTTGTCCTTATGTTTAAAAAAAAATTAAACAAAAATCTTGGTTTCTCCATCATTTTTGCAATTTACTTTTCACTGTGTTTACCACATCCATTTCAAAAATATATAGTATATATAATATAATGCAGCCATAGACACACAAAATATATTAATCTACTGTATTTGACAAAAGCTGCTAACTATTGAGCTACTGCTACTAAAAATTGGAATATCCTATCTCCTTTTTTTTTTTCAATAAATAAAATAATGTATTTATTTTTTAGCGTAGTAGCACAGGCTGGGTATATATGCCCACTAGTATCGATGTAAACCTCACCACTAAAATTACTTATACTGATTGAAATATGTATGTTACATTACAAAAGTAATTATAATATAATTTATCTATTTCAATAATTTTGTTTAGAGTAACTGCATAATGTTATTTATTAAAAAATATGATTTCAGATTATTCCTAATATCGACGCGAGCGGGTGGACTCGGCATCAATCTAGTGGCAGCGAACCGTGTCGTTATTTTCGACGTGTCTTGGAATCCCTCACATGACGTCCAAAGTATTTTCCGCGTCTATCGTTTCGGTCAGAAGAAACCCTGTTATATTTACAGGTTTCTTGCGATGGTAAGTCTTCAACCCTACTTTAAACTCTTCTAATATATAAATGCGATTGTGTGTTTGTTAATTCATCCTTCTTTCACGTAGCAAGGGGGCAACATTTCAACAATTTTGGATTTTCTTTTCAATTTAGTAAAGTACTTTTTCTTGAAGAAATACACGATTACTGTGCAATAGATCTCAGTGTAATTCTGTATTTACCTATTTATTTTATTTTAGGTCTTGGAGTAACATTCGCACCACGTGAGCGAATCTGCGGGCAAAAGCTAGTTTTTTAAATAAAATTTTAATAATTAATGTTTAGAATATTAATTCAAATAAATAATTAAAAATGAGAAAGCCACTCGGTGCAGCTTATTTAAAAATTACATAATACACAAGTAAATCAAGTACGAGCTCCACCAGTACCATATGTTCGACAGTGAAGGAAAACGTAATTAATTTAAAAGCGTATACATGTCCCACTGCTGGGCACAGGCCTCCACTCATTTCTCAGAGGGTTTTAGGGCAAGGAAATTTCTGCCACTCTGCCCCAATGGGTGTTGGCGAACTTCACATGTCTACGAAATATTTTTCTTTCTTATTTCTCAGACGTGCGGGTCCTCACGATGTTTTCCTTCACTACCGAGCACGTGGTAAATCAGCACTTAAAATTGGAATTAACAATCTCATTGCTACTGGCGAGGATCGAACCTGAGTTGCTCGTGTACTGTGAAATTTACTGCGAGCGCTTAGCCCATGAGCTACCATGTCTGTAAAACATTTTGAGCATATTTACAGTTCGCCGACAAATACTTGGACTCTCAGGAATGGGAGGAGATCTCTACCCAGTGGGATGTATATATGCTGTTACTTAACAGAACCTCACTACCCCACATTATCATCCTGTGATGTGTAAGATGCGACAAAACTGAAACTGAAACTGAAATCCTCCAGCCAAGTGTAACTTTGGCAAATATCCTCCCTATAAGGCATTTTATGAAGAGTCCAATGTTCAGTAGTGGACTTTTGATGGGCTATAAAGAAAGAATGAATAAATTATATACATTATCTTCAAATTTGTTTTTAGGGCACAATGGAGGAGAAGATCTACGAGCGTCAGGTGACAAAGCAGGCAATATCGAAGCGCGTGATCGACGAGCAGCAGATCGACCGGCACTACGCGGAGAACGACCTGGCCGAGCTGTACAAGTTCGAGCCGCGGCCGCCCGTGCCGCGCCCGCTGCCGCCGCTGCCCCGCGACCGCCTGTTCGCCGAGATGCTGCGCGAGCACGACGCACAGGTCGCCTATGCACTGTAACATATTAATTTAATGTAACAAGAAAAATAAACAGTGGTAGAGCCACGCGGCGGCTTTTGCTGTCGCACGGATGGGCCGGCTCGAACCAGGGTGGTACCACGACCTCACAATACCAACGTGAAGTAGAGGTTTACCTCTGTGTTTCGCTTGGTGAGTGCAGGTGGCCGGAGGCCCTTTTTACTGGAAATGAGGCATTCCATCTTAGTCCTCACGGGTGACAACGCATCTACATTTTGATTTGTAATAGAGGATAGATGTAGATGTCTATGGGCCGCAACAACCACTTACCATCAGGTGGACTGTGTGCTCGTTTGTCACCCTTATCTTATAAAAAAAAAAACATATTTCTATATCCTAATTTATGTATCTATATTCACAGATCTACAAATACCACGAGCATGATTCACTTCTCGAAAATAAAGAAGAGGAGACGCTAAGTGAAGAGGAACGCAAAGCGGCGTGGGAGGACTTCGAGAATGAGAAGAACCGCCCGCCACCTGCTCCCTTCCCGGCGCCCTGGCAGATGGCTAACGGAATGGGTGAGAAAGCTTTACTAGAGTTTCAAATACATACAAATCAAAAATCATTCTATTATTGGTTTAGTATATTTTATTTTTGTATGTTCCTAAATTTAAACAACTAAAGTATATATAAAATATCTCACAAAATAAGACCTCTGTCCATCCATGTGATATTATAGACTGTTACATTACATTTTTTAAACGATTGCCCCAGAACGATGGTAATGTTTTAAAGTACTTGTAAGGTAATTGAAATTCTGAAAAATGTATCTCTGTGACAAAATACTATCTAAATATTCCTCGTTAACTTTTTGTGCTAAAAGCAGTTTATAAAATATGTGACTTCATATTTATTATTGTTACACAAGTAAATTAAAAATACTTAACATGTTCTTTTGATTACATTTCTTCTAAAGAACTTAAAACAAAAAAAAATTTGAAAAATAAAAAAAATATAAACAAATTAAACTAGTACTTAAACTAGACCTTTTTTACTGGCAAAAAGGCATTCCATCTTAGTCCTCACGGGTGACAACACATCTGCATCTTGAGTCTTTATTGAGGATAGATGTAGATGTCTATGGGCTACTGCAACCACTTACCATCAGGTGGACAGTGTGCTCGTTTGTCACCCTATCCTATAAAAAAAAATAGTTAAATTAAGATTTAGTTTTTTAACTCTATTTATTAACAAATTTTTATATTACACAATTTTCTTAGTGCCCGGATTGCTGGCACAACAGCAACAACAGCTCGCCTTCGCCGCTCTCGGAGCTATGCTCCGCAAGGATATGCCTAATATCAACGAAAACCAGATACGAGATATGCTGCCTCTCATTTATAATTCTAATCCGGGGGTAAGGATTTCATCTTAATTTTCTGTCAATTCTCTGTGTTTCTCTATTTTCTCCATATAGTATCTCAAAATTACTATGCTCTTTTGATAATTGTCTTTGTTGATTTTTACTACATCGTCTATAAAAGAAAGAAAGAAGAAGCTATTTTCAGTACTTATTTATCATAGTGGTGAGCATGAAACCTTCATGCTATCACATTTAAAGATTAATCTATATGCATTGGGGCAGCATGGCAGACTAGTGCATCCTTCTCAGAAATGAGGGTAATCCTTATATATTGTCTCAAAACTACAATGTGGTGTAAGCCAACTTTTTGACGTTAGTTGAATTTTGAATGACAAATGGGCCCTGGTAACCTGATAGTGGACAATCTATGAAAGAAAGCTGAATACTAAATCTCACTGACTGATGATGGGGAGCAGTATAACCAGAGTGACGTATCTGCTCTGCTCTCACTAACCTGCTTGGCCAGCATAGTAAATAATGGGCAAATCTTTAAAATAATGTTTGCCAGCTGGAAGCCAATGAAAATATTAAGGGTTTAGGTTTTGATATAAATTTATATCAAAACATAAAGGTACAGGGTAAACATTTTTTTCTAAATTCTACATAATGTCACAGAAACAATGTTTTTTCAAAACAGATAATAATAAATAATACTCTAATAATAGAGTAATCATTAACTTATCTGACCAATTGAACATGTATTTGTGATTTTAGAATTTAATGAAATATTGATTTTATTATATTTATTTGTTTAGATGTTCGGTGGATATGACTATGGCGTAAGTTGATGCCGATATTTGTATTGTCCTTTGTATATATTTTTTTTTTGCTTCACGCCAACATATCCGCTTTACTTCTTACATTGGCATGTTCTTATAAAATTTATATCCTATTTTATGATTAAAATACACTCAATGTAGGTAGTTGTTATATTATATTGTTTAAATTTTTTTTTTCATTAACTATTTAATTTGGTATGCATTTATGCAGTATTTCCTTGTAATTGATTTTTGATGTGTGTATTATAAGTTGTTTTATTGTATAATTTTTTAATGTAGCAATATTTTGATTTTTAGTTGATGCAGAAAATGGGCGAGATCTACAAGTATGCTCAGCCGGGCATAATGAACCCAGCGATGATGAATCCAGTTATGAATCCTGGTAAGTTTTCAAGTTTTAAAAGCAACATGTAAATCATTTTGCGTAAGAAAAAAAATATAGCAGTACTTCATGAGATAATGTGTTAATTTGTATTTTATATTTATTGACTAAAATAAATTGTTCCCCTTTTGATTTAATAAAAAAGAAAACACTAATTGCCCTTTTTAATATAATTATGGTTTGTAAAGTAAAAAAAAGTAAGTACTTTTAAATCAATTTATTAGTCCAATATTGTTTACAATATCAAAAGTGTTTAGATATTTTATAGAGTCAACAATAAACTAAATTGATCTTATTACAAAATTTGATTTCAAAGTTTCAAACCAGACATTCAATATACCAGATTTATTGACACTATCTGGTTTGAACTGCTTTAAAAAATTTTTAAAGGATCACTGATAGTTTAAACTTGAGACTATTGAATATATGTACCAAATTTTATAGTTACACTATTACAGGTAGCAAACTAGTTCAGATAATCTGTCTTATTACAGGTAACAAATGTTTAGACTTATGTTTTAAGAACATTTTAAAAGGATTATTGATAATTTATAAGTCTATAATATATAAAGTATATTATAGTTCATTAGATTATTTTCTCCTTTTTTTAGTAAAGTCTAAAGTGATAATTTTACTAGATGTTACTGTTGTACATTTTATAACTTTCGTGAAGTTTGATCTTTAGAATTCGTAAAAATAAAACCCTAATAACGATTTTAAATAACTTTGCAATAGTATAAAATTTTAAATAGTTTTTATATGTAGTATAAAAACTATAAACTATATAAGACTATTTCGTAAATAATTCTCCAAACTTTTCAGACTCTTAAACAGACAATTTAACATAGTGTGCGTGGTTGATGCGTGCGAGGTGTCCTTCTTTACTCTAAAGGAAAATGTTATTTATTTACATACATTATTTAATTTACTTTTTAACAGGCGCTGGAGCAGGAAATTTAGGGGGTTCTAGCGGTTTGCAATATGAGCCTCCATGGCAAAGACAACAACAGCAGCAACAACAGATGAGGTTGCAACAGATGATGCAGCAACAACACCAAAATGTAAGTTGAACAATTAATTAAATTATTGAAAAGTAGTCATTAAATAAGTATCAGATGTAATTGAATTTAAATAGAATTATTGTGAAAGTAAATTATATTGATAAAATATTTAGCAAAATTATTTCATATTATATTATATTAAAAATCCATAGCAAATTACAGTACAGTACAACTGTAGTACACTTGTAGTACAGTCACACTCACTCCTGAGGACTAAGATAGAATACCTCTTTACCAGTAAAAAAGATTGCCGGTTTTCTACACTAACCATATGAAACAGCAGTTGCTATTTGCTGTTAATATGTCAGAATATGGTTTTTCCTCATTCTATCTGACTCATTCATGCTGTAACATCTTTATTTAAACTGCTGTAATGACTACATTATGGACCAAGTAATTAATAAGGCATTATTCATATTGTCCAGAGAGTTTGAAAAATGCTAAGCATATTATAGGCAATATAATAAAAGCTATTGAGATAGTTAAATTAACAGGGCTTTATGAATAAAGTCTGTAACTTATAGGGGCAGAGTAAAAAAAGATGGATTAGGTTGACCAGGCAATGTGATAAAAAAATTAAGTTTACATCAGTATTAATTACGTACTACCCGTGCGGTTAAAGAATGGGATTGAAAATAGTGTCGCCTCTATTCACCTCTCGCTCGCACACTGTCGCTATATATACTCGCACCCAACGGTAAAGACTGCAAAAAAAAATATGTTGCGTTATGCGTTTTTCGGTACGTTCTGTAACTTCAGTCCAACTTGTCATTGGAATCAATGATAACAAATTCAGTTCAGTTTTGCTAATTTGATAGCTACGACGCGTTCTGAGAGTTTTCTTCATAATTATTATTGATTTTGTTTTGTTTGTTGATTTTTGGTGGAAACATTTATAGAGACAAGAGCTCTTTGAATGACATCGTTTAAAGAACCGTGACGGGAAAACCTGCACGTTTCCTTCATGAAAGTCGACGAGTTTGGGCTCCAAGCCCAAACTCATCGACGATGCTACCACAGGGGCACTGATGAGGTTTACAAATTGCCGCTCCTAGAGGGATTCCTATGGGATGATATTTTTGTATAAAATATTTACATGCCTAACATGAATAACCATTTTTAAAATTTTTGTCTGTCTGTCTGTCCGACCTAATCGAACTTAACGAACAAATAGAGAGTACAAATTAAACTCAAATACATCAAATACAAATAAAACAAATAATAACTATGCGTGATCTGGACTGAATTTTATTCGAAAATTTTAGAGATTTTATTAAAATAGAAATATTGATAAGGTAAAATAAGTGGTCTTTAATGATTATCTAAGTCTAAAAGCTATTTTAATATCCAACCCTGGCGAAGCCAGAGCGGGTCTGCGCTAGTTATAAATGTTATTTTAAAATTAATGTACCTACTTGAGTATACAATTATTTTCAAATAATTTTCAATTAAAAGAAAATTTCCAATTAACCGAACAATGATTTTATGACGACGTTACGTTAACGATATACTGTTATTAGCTAGATTTTGCTATTAGTACTGTGTATGTTGACGGTACGGGCTCGATGAGCCTGATTTGACTTGTCATTATTCATATTGCATGGGCATTATAAATAATGTCCTGGTTTATCATAAAATTAATTAATTTTTGATAAACCAGGAGTTTAATAGAATTTGTAATATTAAGACTGTAGGCGAAGTGTGGGGCGACCCCTCACTAGATGGAGTGATGAGACCTGCAAGCAGGAAGTCGATGGACGCAGGTGGCTCAGGACCGTGCTTTGTGGCATTATTTGGGGGAGACCTATGTTCAGCAGTGAATTTGTTTATGGCTATAATTATCATGTTGAAGACTCAGTTTATTAATGTGGTAGAGCCATGCTGCAGCTATTATTAGTATAGTTGTCGCACGAATGGATCGGCTCGAGCGGGGAAGAACCGCGCTCTCACAGAATACTAGCGTAAATAGCAGCTTAAGGCCGGCCATATACATACGGAATTCCGTTTCGGAATCCCGAATCGGGATTCCAAGAAAACATCACACACATACGTTTTTTTTTTCGTTCGGAATTACAAGGGTCAGTTGAGAGACGTTAGCCATTGAGTCTAGACATTCTGCCAGCGAATAATGACGACGATTTTCTAATTGCGATTCCATTGTTGCTGTATCATTCTTACTAGGTGCATTTTTTTACGTGGTAGAGCCACGCTGCAGCTATATTACTCGTAGTAGTATAGTTGTAGCACGAATGGGTCGGCTCGACCGGGGAAGGACCACGCTCTCACAGAAAACCAGCGTCAAATAGCAGTTTAACACTGCTGTGTTTCGTATGGTGAGTGTAGAGAACCGGAGACCCTTTTTACTGGAAAAGAGGCATTCCATCTTAGTCCTCACGAGTGACAACGCATCTGCGTTTTGATTCGCAAGCGAAGATAAATGTAGATGTCCATGGGCCACAGCATCCACTTACCATCAGGAGGACTGTGTGCTCGTTTGTCACTCGATCCTTTCGGAATCCCGAATCGGAATATCGAAACGGAATCCCGAAACGGAATTCCGTATGTATGTGGCGGGCCTTAGGGTGCGTTTGCAAATCGGGCCAAATTATGCTGTTTTTCGGTACATTTTGTGACAAAACTAAACCAAATCAAATATAACTAATAACTACAACGTATAGAATGGTTCTTTATCTTCAAATAGTGGTAACTTTTTTGTTGAAAATAATAGTTTTTTACATTGTAAAAAGGATCTTCCCTAGCCATTTACTACAAAATTAACGATACCGGCTCATATTTCGGTACATTTTTTGTTCTATTATCAACATTATTAAGATTTCTAAAAAATGCTGGTGTTTACTTTTTATCAAAATGTCACAAATGGTCGTAAAAAAAAATAAAAACTGATGCTTATTTTTTTGACATATTTGGCTGATACGGATGAATCCTAATGGATTGCAATAAAGCGCTTATTACATTATTCAATTTTTAGTAAATCTAATTAGGAAATTGGAAAGTGTAATCATAGTTAGAACAGTTAGGATCCGATTTAGTTAAAGTTGGAGGTCCCGACCGCTCTACTTTCTAAATTGTCTACAATTTAGGACAGTGTAATCGCAAAGTTATGATTTACAACGACCAGTCGGCGCCCGCGCTTCGGCCTAAGTGGGTGTCTTGACTGCGCGTGCGACATTTTTTTGCGATGGCGAGTGAAGCGACAGAACTGAGCAGTGGTTCGTGTGGCAGCATGTCCACAGAAAAAGAGGTGTTATTACAAATTATAGACCTGTATAGGGTAAATGCCCTATTTGTATAATAAAAATGATGAAAACTATTTAAAAAAGCAATGCGTGAAGAGGGCTTCAAGGTGTTGTTAAATATTTACAAATACAATGACAAGTATTCCTTAACCCAGCATATTCTCTTTTTTCTTTTTTTAATATCCGTTGTTCCCACCACGGCTAAGGCAAGTCTTATTTTCTGCTGTTTTGATAAATACGGCGCCATCGATCAAACGTGCAACCCCGTCGATACTTCTTTTACGAATGTGCTTCGTCACGATTTAGGTCCTACTTAGGTTCCTAATTAGATTTTCTAAAAATTGGATAATGTAATAAGCGATTAAGGGTTATTTTATTTTTAGTGCCTGTTTTGATTTGTTGTACAAAAATTTCGATGAAACCACAGTCGGCGCTCGGCCGCCATCGTGGGTGGTTGCTGTATCGCTTGCAGCAGCTGAAAAAGATCGCTGTACAAACACAAAATATTTGAATTTCATAAATAGGTACCTGACCTGACAAAGTAAAGTAATAGATATGTAATATAAATATATTTTTATAATCACAAATTCTTATAATAATGTTTTGTTTCGCTAAAAGCAAGTGGGATTTATAATATATAAATATATATAAATCCTATTCGTCTTGGACTTTAGATTAGATTATGGAGTGACCTAAAAGTATACGGTGAATGCTACTAGAACTCCTCGACGAGTTGAACTAGGTGTGCCGAGTTGGGGCTCATTATGTTAGTTATGACGAGACCTTACCTCCGGACTTGATGGAATGACCTGAACGTGTACTTCGGTAACTGCTACTAGAACTCCTCGACGAGTTGAACTAGGTGTGCAGAGTTTGGGCTCATTATGTTAGTTATGACGAGACCTTACCTCCGGACTTGATGGAATGACCTGAACGTGTACTTCGGTAACTGCTAGTGGAACTCCTGGACGAGTAGAAGTAGGTATGCCGAGTTTGGGCTCGTTTTGTTAGTTATGATGAGACCTTACCTCCGGAATTGATGAAGAAACCTGATGGTGTACTTCAGTGACTACTACTGGAAATCCTGGACGAGTAGAACTAGGTGTGCCGAGTTTGGGCTCGTTTTGTTAGTTATGACGAGACCTTACCTCCGAACTTGATGAGAGACCTGATGGTGTACTTTGTAACTCCAAGACGAGTAGAACTAGGTGTGCCGAGTTTAGGCACGTCGGAGAAAATATAAATGGTATTACCAAATTCAAAGGCAACTGCGCATCATAACTAACAAACTCGGCACACCTAGTTCCACTCGTCCAGGAGTTCTAGTAGTAGTCACTGAAGTACACCATCAGATCTGTCCATCAAGTCCGGAGGTAAGGTCTCGTCATAACTAACGAAACGAGCCCAAACTCGGCACATCTAGTTCTACTTGTCCAGGAGTTCTAGTAGTAGCCACTGAAGTACACCATCAGGTCTCTCCATCTAGTCAGGAGGTAAGGTCTCGTCATAACTAACAAAACGAGCCCAAACTCGGCACAGATGGTACTACTCGTCCCGGACTTCCAGTAGCAGTCACCCAAGTATACCTTCAAGTCACTTCACCAAGTTCGGAGCTGAAGTTATCATAACTAACAAAACCAGCCCAAAGTTCACAGCCAACATCTCACTCCCAGTAGAGAGCTTCTAGTGCCTAGATGTCACTGGAGCAGTCATTTATATTTCGTATCTACGTATATTTTTGTAGTTATAAGAAATATGAAAAGAAAACAATCTTTCAAAGTATCAAAATGTTTATACTTTATTGCGATTCCCGCAGCTAACCGTGCGTACACTTGTGTGTGTGACCCGTGTCAATGTAATAGTTCAGTTCTATACCTATCAATTTTGTAAACGCGTCCTTAACACTGCTGTGTTTCGTATGGTGAGTGTAGAGAACCGCAGACCCTTTTTATTGGAAACGAGGCATTCTTAGTCCTCACGGGTGACAATGCATCTGCATTTTGATTCATAGTCGGGGATCGATGTGGATGTTTAAGGGCCGCAGCAGCCATTTACCATCAGGTGGACTGTGTGCTCGTTTGTCACCCTTAGCCTGTAAAGAAAAGTTAAATAATTATAAAAGTGGAAATTTTTTTTGCAAGCCGTACTTTTCCAGTCACAGTTGACGGATTGCAGTCATTTGAGGTCATTCGTTGCTTTTCTTATTTAAATCGCATTGGATTTTCATATATGTCGTGTGAGCTGCTCTACATGACAGGTAATCTTTTGTAACTTGACAGATGGGCGCGAAGTACTACGCGGGCGGGCTGGGCAGCCGCGACCCGGTGGCGATGGCGCTGCAGCAGCAGCGTGCGCGCGAGATCATGCTCGGCGAGCGAGCGCGCCCGCGCGGCCGCCCGCCGCTGCAGCGCGCGCCCGCCGCGCCCGACGTCGTCAACCTCGCCGACTCCGACTAGGTGAGCGTGCAGCGTGCAGCGCTGCAGCAGCTGCAGCGGCAGCGCGCGCGCGAGATCATGCTCGGCGAGCGAGCGCGCCCGCGCGGCCGCCCGCCGCTGCAGCGCGCGCCCGCCGCGCCCGACGTCGTCAACCTCGCCGACTCCGACTAGGTGAGCGTGCAGCGTGCAGCGCTGCAGCAGCTGCAGCGGCAGCGCGCGCGCGAGATCATGCTCGGCGAGCGAGCGCGCCCGCGCGGCCGCCCGCCGCTGCAGCGCGCGCCCGCCGCGCCCGACGTCGTCAACCTCGCCGACTCCGACTAGGTGAGCGTGCGGCGTGCAGCGCTGCAGCAGCTGCAGCGGCAGCGCGCGCGCGAGATCATGCTCGGCGAGCGAGCGCGCCCGCGCGGCCGCCCGCCGCTGCAGCGCGCGCCCGCCGCGCCCGACGTCGTCAACCTCGCCGACTCCGACTAGGTGAGCGTGCGGCGTGCAGCGGCTGCTACAGCGGCAGCGCACACCCGACTTCATTACCTTCCACTAGGTGAATGCTACAGCGGCAACGCGCCCGACTTTGTCATTCTCGCTGACTGCGACTACGTGAGTGATTCAGCGCCAACGCGCCCCGACAACGTCACTTTCGCTGACTCCGACTAGGTAAGTTTTGTAGCGCTGTAGCGGCAACTTGCGCACAGTGAGCGCTGCGGTTATACAGCATGTGCAGCACTACAGCAACTTTCTGTGCGATGGACACTATCACTACATACGCACTGCTACAGGAAATATTTTTTTTATAATACTCAAGTAACAAACGGTCCACCTAATGAGTCGTTACTGCAGGCCATGGGTACCTGCAGCCAACTTTGCGTCATAGTCTGTAAATTATACTGACACTAAACCCTGCAAACCAGAACAGCAGTGCAAGCACTGATATTTAACGACAAAAATAGGTAAGAGAGTTATACTTACCTTGACCATGACAGTTCGTAAGCAGTAAATAAGTCCTACCATCTATTAAATGTATATGTGCGAGAGACATCGTCCAGCAATGCATATACAATACTGCAGCAACTGTGCTTGTCAGATCCCTTCAACACTATTATATACAGGATTGAAATAACTTCACGTGACAACTTTATTGTTGAGCCTAAGGAGGCTTAATTGACACTCTGCACTTCAGCATTTGGATAGGTTTGAAACTTTTAGTTCTATACTCATGTAAAAATCCAATTAATTCTTACTATACAAACACTTCACACAATTCGAACATGATTATAATGTAAAAAGTATCATTTAACAAAAATAATTTATACATTTCTACACAAATCGATGTATTATAATCATTTATACAAATGTTTTATACCTTAACATATTATTTATAGTATAAATTGAGTAACTACTAAAAGCTAAACTAGTATAAATTTGTTTCAGATGCATGAGATGAGATGTTAAGTGAACTGATGTGTACAGTGAATGTGCTAGGTGCTACGCAACATGTGGGAGCATAGTGGCTCTGATTTGAAAGCTATTGGAGCCTGCGGACTCTATGTGAATGTATAGCCGAATAAGGAGTGATGTACAAGTGGTAACATTATATCTTACGGGCCTTCAGATTAACGCTCTACTCCACATATCATGAATCTCTAACATTTGAACATTTAAAGTAAATACACTGTCTCACTTTGGATGGCTTTAAGGTAGTGTGACTTGGCCTTGAAGTTTCCAATTTATAGGAGCATTTATCTACATGACTAAATTTGACAGATTATTATAAACGTACATTTCACAGAATTGCATAGTAGCAAACTAAATGTTTTTTGTGCTATGCCTAACATTTTTCTCGTACTGCGTGTGAGTATATTAAAGGAATTTCGGACTGTTTTGTCCATTATCAAAAGCGTCATTATGAAATTTCAACTCTTTAATTACTATTACAGCAGATATCTAAGGCATAACCTGTAATCTCATTCCAAAAAGTCTTTTTGGAAGTAGATTAAAACATGTAAACATCGATGCACGCAGCAGTTGAAATATAATGGACGGGCACTTAGTATCTCATACGAAGAATAAAGTTTTCAAATAACAAAACACATGTTTATTTCTGGACATATTCATGCAATGCCTAGATAAAGTTGTCTTTCGATGAGATGCTATGTATGTCATTTCGACAGTTTAATCTATATATATATCAGTACAGGAACTTAGTAATAAGCCGTGTTGTATGTCGTTAGTTAGATAACTTCATTGTTTAATATCTGTCATAATAACTAAAACAGAACGAGACTACAATGCACATACTTGATATTAATGCTAAACGCTAAGGACTAATTTAATTTTTCATTTCTCATATTTTATTAATTTCCCTTTTTAAAGAGTTACGTTGCAATCAGTTTTCTAAAATAAACCATTTAAATCGGTACTTGTGTCAATCTCATATACGACGTAAGTTACACTTCATGATTTATAAAATTTTCATTTTACTGTATACAAAATACTTTCTGCTGTGCAACGTGTCTATTTATTCTCTTAATATGCGGCCACATTACCGGACATATTCACTGCTGTCACACGATTATAAACTTCAGCTTTGATCATCGGCGATACACTTGTCTTCATTAGCTTCACATTGAATGTCATTCAGAGATTACACTGTGACTAGGTTTGCAAACAATTTTTTGAGGAAAAAAACTATATTTATTTATTATTCACGTATTGTCCGCGCTAGATAGAATATCTTGACCGGGCTGAAGTTAGTCGCGCGTGGCTACGCAGATGTAGGGTATGTTCTGATATGCACTGTGACCTGACTATTTAACAATATTGTAATTCTATTTTATGATGATGTACATTAACATTTTATTGAAAACTTTAAAGTTATATTATTTTGGGGTTACTGCAAGAAATTGTTGTCCCGCTTATATTGTGTATTTTCTATATATTCAATTGTTTTATCGTAATTCTTTATTAAGATACTATTGTTTTATTGACATACATACGGATGTTTTCATTATTATAATAATTTTCAATAATCGATATAAACAAATACTGTTTCCGATGTTAGGAGCGAATATGAAGTGGTACATCTCTATCGACTAGCTACTTTACATGCGCAAAAGCTAACTTCAGCCCGGCCAAGAAGATGAATGCGCGACAATAACAATTTGGCGTCATTTAAGAAAAAATACATTAATCCTTGTAATCAAGGCTTAGTACAATTAATTTTCATTAAAAAAAAATATTTGAATTTATAAAATTAAAACGTGTAAGAACAAAGTAAGATACACTGAACAAGTTAAAATGTTGTTAAAGTATCTTTACATATTTTTTATTAATTTGTCTACGCGTAGAAAGAAAATAATATAAAAATTTCGTCAGAACCAAATAAGATTTGTTTTTTGTTTGGAACGAATTTCTTTTACGTGGCTTACAGCAGTGTACTGGCAGAAATCGTCACGAAAGAAAAAAGCGTTATGCTCCAGGCGACCTTTCACTCTCTTTCTCTCTGTCTCTTTCTGTTATATATGATTTCTATTGTATGTGTATGTGTTCGTGCCAGTATCACGAGATTAATATAATTATTAAATTTTATAATTAAATTATTATATTAATAATTAAATATTATTTTGAATTAAATAGAAATCTACATATTAAATCATATTTTGAGTTGAAAAAATAATGTAAGGAACTTCGTTCGTGACAGGGTTCACCCGACCGCACATTTCTTTTTTTATAATATTGAAGTAACGACTAAGCCTTCTTTATTGAAGTTGCTTGCAAGTGTCACCACTGAGGCACATCCTAAGAAGAACATACAGTCAGTCATCGCGTTTGATGTTGTCGGAAAATCAAACACAAACATCGACATAAACAATAAATTGCTAGGGTTGTCAGAACGGGAAGTAACAAAAAACTGGTTTTATTTTATTTCACGTTTAAACAAATTCCTGTGTATGTAGTAACTGATAAAACTTTAATTCCTTATCTTTAAATGAGGACGAGCCACAGTTTTCTCCGCACATGTAGTGTGAACCATTTGAATTTATTTGCGTGACAGTTCAACCCTAGCGGACAGCTCTCGAACGGCCGTTAACGCTCTGTCCGCATCTCTGCCCACACCGCACGATTGCCCCGTCTAGACGCCTTCGACGACCGACTGTTAGTAGTAGTTAGATTGTAACTGAGGTCTTGGATGCTTCACAGGCTGTAACTACAGTGGTTCTCTATATCCTTCCGACCCAAAAAGAACGCATTCGCAAATGCTTGGCGGCAGAAATAGACGGAAAAGGAGTCCTACCACTTAGTGATTTATTATTTAGTATCCATAATGAAATTATTCTGTATTACTAAATATAGTAATACAGAATAAATTCATATGTAGAATGGATTGACCCTAGATGCAACTGAAGTGACAAAATGTAGCTCTCTTTCTCTCTCATACGCCTGTTACCGAAGGGGTAGGCAGAGACTATTATTGACTTTTATTTTGCCCGATCGTGACACAGCTCTCTCATCTCTTTCACATCCAAATTTAGTAATTTTTTTGTAAATCGAAAATGTTTAAGAAACACTATTTTTATGTTTACACAAAATCTTACGCTTATGTGAACAAGGGTTGAGCGATGTTTGTGTCCCCTTGATGAGCGCACACTTCGTTAATGACAGGCATTCGTGTTTCGCCGAACATAACTGTGACTAGTGTCCCTCCACAAATCGTGACATCTCGAACCTTTGTCAAAGTAGCCGCGGCACAGAAATATAGGTTATCAGGCATATAAGGCTCATTTATACAATTCTTAATCAAGTGGTCGATAATACTACAGTTTGAATAACTGTAAGCACTGATAGATTAAATTTTTCCGTGTAATATTTATTTCTTCATAACTATATTTATAGAACTCCTGAACATTATAGAAATCATGACAATTGTAGGTTATTTCCGTTCTTGTCTCTTTACTTTTAAAGTTCAAAATTAAGTTTAACATCTTGTATCATTGCAATATTGTTTATTAAAATTATTTCACACTAAT